ATTTTCTTCTATGCTTTTAATTGTATTTAATCCTCACTTTACTTTATGATTTTTGATTTTTACCCCTATGTATTAATGTTGCTATTTGCTATTTTGTCACTCTGTTGTTTTTTGTTATTTGTTGCAAACCACCCAGAGTAGCCTTGGCTGCCAGATGGGTGGTATATAAATCAAATAAATAAATAAATAAAATAAGATGTTATACCCACATATATCTCCAGTCAGTACCATGGTGCATGGATCCTCTAGTGTTATCGTAGCTAACAAAGATGTGTTTTACCAAAATAAATAAATAAATCTTATTTTTGAAAAGGGCACTATGAAGTCAGCCTTTTGCTGTGACAGAGTTAAACGGCACCCTGCCTGTTTGGCTGGGTTGGTGAGCAGGATGGTCCCAGAGATGGCATTCTAGTTCACAAGTTTCAATGGCAATCCTGAACTTAATGCAGGGGTTTGCGGATGGTTTGAGATGTGGCTTCCAAGGAGAGAGAGGGTGAGGTGAATTGAGCACTTCAGGGAGCTGTTAATGACTCTCATGTCTCATCCTGGTTTGTTAAGATCAAAAGGAGCAACTCCAAGGCCAAGTACTTCCTTACGCTGACCTTCCTCCCGGATCTATAGAGTTTTCACTGAACGAAGATTTTTAGGCAATGATGTTTGCTTATCGAGACACACAGGTGCACCTTCATCAGAATGAATCTGTGTTTATAACTACAGTGAGGCTGAAGATATTGGATATTGTGTGCTGAACTTCCCCTTAGCTGTGGATTTCCTGGTGCCTTCCTGTTCTACAGGACTAAAGTTGCATATAGAACCAAGGATGAAATTGGTTCACAGGGAAGAAGCAAGTACTTTTGTAACAGATCATCAGGTGAAACAGGCAGCATGATGTGTTTAAAAAAGTTAGTTCTGGGACCATCACCAGAACAGGACCTTCTCACTTCCTTCCTGCTTGAAGGAGAAGGAAGAAACACATCAACTTGTGATGAAACCCTCTACTCTAGTTCACCTTCAGAGGGAACATTGTTTAGGGAGATGGAAATGACTTTTCATAATGAGTACTAAGAGTCCTTTGATGGACATGAATGCTGAACTTCTTCTTGATGGACCTGAATGTTTATTCTGGCAAAGGGGGATTTGGCATGAATTCCTCTTCTCCAGCTCCTATTCTTAGAACTTAGTTGTCACATTTTATAGAAACATTTGGTGAGAGCGCAGATGTCCAGTTAGTTCAACCAGAATGGCCACCTGTAAGATTACTAGATATTAAAGAGCTTATTTCTCTCTTTCACGGTACAAGACTCTGCAAAAGGATACAAACTGCCCCCCCCCCGGAATCTGCTTTAATATCCTGATTGGTTGACTCCAATCTTGGACAGGTTGTTCAGTCCCATAAATCCATCTAGAACCTTCCTTGATGGGTGGACAAGAATTGTGGTTCCTATATTTTAAAGAGGGGAGTTTACAGACCCTGTAGTGGGTCCTAGATCAAATTAAGGATGAAATTATATTATCACCAAGCATACTAGCAGGCCACCCTAGGATGCAATCGGAGAGCTTTTATGTGATGATCAGCCCTTTGTCAGTGGTTACTCTATTAACTGTGGTAGCAAAGAGATCATACCATTATTTTGTGAAAACCAAGTAAAAGCCTTCTACGGCCTAAAATAACACAGAGTTTTGGTTTTAAATATCAGCATTTAATTTTGATCTTTTTATTTTGTCTTCTCTTTTAGCTCTCTGTTGTGCAACCAAACTGGAACAAGACTTGTGTTAAGATCTTAGTTTCTTATCTTCGCTGCTTATTCTAGCCTGCATTTTTATTTGTATTCAGTTGTGGTTAAATACAATCGGTTAAATACCAATTGTTTCAAGGACTTGCATTCAACATGTTAATGGCTGGGCCATGGAAGCCCACATATTGTCATGGATAGCCTCCAACAGATCCTAAGTAGTCCGTCCTCCCTCCCTCCCTCCCTTCCTTTCACATCAGTACTCCAACCTTTTCACCTGCTTGCTGTATTTGTACATGGCCATTCTGTATACTTGCTCCATCATTAGTAGAAGCAGATAAAAATACGCAAAAGAAGCAAGTACATGCCGATTCATTTTATTTTCTAAATGAAATTCTTGCAGAGTTAGTATGTTTTGGTGGAAGAACATTGCCATTTCCACTTCCACCATCCACTATCACCACCTCCTTAGGCTCAGGATACACATGGGACTCTTCATATGGAAGTAGCCTGTCTTCTAATTTGAGGATGAATTAAGGTGTGGATTATTCCATGCAAGTGCAGTGATTGCCCCGGATTTCAGATTTATTTCTCTTCAGATTTGCCTCACTCACTGAGGGATGCTCTAACTGACGCCCTGCCTGTTCCCTGGGACACTCACCTGTATAATGCCCACCCTGCATGCTGCCATGATGGTTGCAGACGGCATAGAGATCATACAAGAAGTGAACCTGGGCACCTTCTGCTGTTGGTGGTTTCCAGTGCCCCCACTTGCTGCCACGGCTTCGCTTAGCCACATGGGGAGCCATATCGAGCCCACGCAAGGGGAAGTGTACCAGCGTGGTGAGCTTGTGGCGCTGCTCGCCCACCTGCCGAAAGCGTTTCAGGTGAATGATGAGGATGTCAGGTAGTGTCCAGAGGCTCAGCTTTACCATGCCCTGCTGAAGCACCTGGCAATGTGGACAGCGCCAGGCATCATCAGGGGCCAGCTACAAAGAAAGAGACTGTAGGTCAGTGGTGGGTGATCTCTAGAGGTCTGGGGCTACACAAACCCATTTGGAATGTGGGAATACCAGAGTGTATATGTGGTTCCCTGGGGACGATGCAGCCTGAGGGCCATATGTTGTCTAGCCCTTTAACAGAGCTACAACCAGTGATTTTATAAGGTTCCAATGCTGAAAGACAGTCTCAGCAGCCACTGGAGTGGGGGACAAATGACACTGCTTGATGGGAACAGTCCGGCAGCAGCCAGAATCCCTGCTGGGGGTGAAAAACAAAGGAAGCTCCTGACCGGAAGGGAGGCTGGGCCAAACAGAGAGGCCTGCTCTAGTAACCTCCACCACAAAAAGCTAACTCCTAGCATGCTCTTGACTCTTGGCCAAAGATACCTGCTCCTCCTTGGTGTAGAGCTGGAAGCACTCGTCCAGGGTACAGCTGTGCTGCTGATGATGGAGCTGTTGCTTCAGCCTCACACTTTCGGCATCTTCAACCACTTCTTCTTGGATGTTGCCAAATAAGCTGTAAAAAAACACAGGCAAATGGGTCAGAAGAAATGCTCCAGGCCTGATGATGGTTCCTTTATGGACAAACACTCGCTTTCTCCTAAAGCAGACGCACGGCTCCTCCCCATTTCCAACAAGATTTGTATTAACTGTTAATCCCAGCCTGCCCTCCCCCAAACAGTGTGAAGATCGTGGAATTCTGAACTCAGGCAAGAGCCGGTGCCTTCTTAGCACAAATGCTTATCCAGAGAGATGCTCACATTCTTGCAGAAGATGAGGGTCTCCTGAGATATCTGACCGAGTTTCCATAAACAAGAAGGGATTAGGCAAGCCCCCAATAGGTGCATTTTTATGAACTTTCCTTTGAAAGTCAGGATTTTGACTATGTGTCAAATCATGCCGTCATGAATGGCAAACCTAAGCCCTCCTCCCACTACTTAATTGCTACATAGGTGTGGAACAGTTCAACAGATAAGCAAGAATGATAGGTTAGAAGGTTTCAAAAAAGCAGTCAGTCCCTTTGGGCATGAAACCCATAACCAGCTCAAAAAAAGAGAAAACAATTAAAACCTGTTTACACAAAGAGCAGGTATCATGTTAAGACTGTTCCTCAATTGTACTGCCATAGACTGCAGGTGGGAAGTTATGTGGCTCTACATGATCCAAAAATGCCACCTGAAAAGAATGCCCACAATGGATACTCAGGCAGATTCATAGCGATTGGCTTCCTCAAAAATCACACCATGTATTTTAAATGCACACTCACCACTCTTTAGTGTTCACATCCCATTCAATGACTAGCTTCACATGAGCAGGACCTCCAGGCCCACCAAGCTGTAGTGCTCTGTAGGAAGAAGGAGCTGGTAAATGTCACTGTTGGGTTGTAGGGTAGATGGCACAGACCCTGGGAAGCAGACCTGAACATTATGATGCTCTGTGATAAGGAATGCTCACCATAAACCCAAAGAATGTAAGGGATCTCTGGGACAATGGAAGAATCCTGGATTATAAAAAAGCGATCTTAACGGAGGTTGGACCTGAAGCACACATTCTTAACCAAAGGCCTAAATGCAGGACCATTCTATCTGCAGACAGACAGACAGACAGACACACACACACGCATGAATCAGGAGGTGAGGCTGAGGAGCCTGACGCCGAGGGAGGCCTAGAGGGAAAAGACATGAAGCCGGGCCTTCTTGGCGGTGGCTCCTCGCCTTTGGAACAACCTTCCTCTGGAAATTTGCGAGGCCCCAATGCTGGGTACTTTTAAATGCCAACTGAAAACATGGATGTACATCCAGGCCTTCCCTCCTGTCAACTACTGATTTCTTTGCTTTGCTATTTATTATTTATTTATTCCTGCACTATTTGTTATTGTTGTATGCTAATGTTTTATGTTTGTTTGTTTTTAATTGTTTTTTATATTCTGTAAGCTGCCCAGAGTGGCAGAATATACCAGATGAGCAGGATATAAATCAAATAAATAAACAAACAAACAAACAAACAAACAAACAAACAAACAAACAAACCACCTTCAGTGGTTGTGTGGGGAAATTTTTTTCCATGTTCTGCCCCCCTCCATTTTTAAAATGTTTTTGCCTATTTTCTCCCTTTCAATGCCAATTATTTTCACTAGTTACTGTATTTTAGAGAGAATCCCCCTATCCCTGGAACAGTTCCATGGCAGTGAAACAGTGGGTTTTCTCCCACGGTTCATCTAAAAACAGTGTGTGCTGCAACTTTGATTGTAATACCTAAAGGCCAGTGTTCTCTAATACGAAGTCAGTCATCCAATTGTTTGAAATAAGCGAAAAGGGTTTCAATAAAATACAGCACGTCAGCATACAAGAACATGCAATGATGGCTTGGCCACACACCCCCAGTTCCAGAAAAGAAATTATTTTAAGCCATGGCACTTATACATCTCCAACTTATGAATCCAGTTTGTGGACTAATGTATGAGACAATTTGAATCTTTTGGGTCTCATTTGTAACACATCTGAAGCAAGCCATTACATGCTCAGATGCTTGTCTCAGACCAGGGTAACTAAAGGTGCAGCCAACACACCAGGACAGCTTTCACAGCCTTGTTCATTAGGGGTAACTAAAGGTGCAGCCAACACACCAGCAGGACAGCTTTCACAGCCTTGTTCATTAATTCTAGTCAAGGATTAACCATGAGGTCTCCTGCCTTGGGCAGGGGGTTGGATTAGAAGACCTCCAAGGTCCCTTCCAACCCTACGATGATTCTATGCGCTGTCAACTGAACCAATGACTGTTACAAGTCGGGTCAGAAAGTTTCATTGACCCAGTGGCCAGCAGGGGGCAGGCTTCTCCCACAGAAATTAACATTCATCTCTCCTGTTTTTAAAAAATAAAAATGTCAAGAGATACACACATATTGGTGGGAGAAATCAGAATGATGGGAATCAAATAAATGCCCCACATGGTTCTAATGTTTCCAAGCCCTGAAGATGCACTCAACCTCCCTTCTTTCACTACTGAAACAAAGTCTAAGTAACATCTAACAAAACTCACTGCAAACTTACCCTCTCTCTGTTTATCCTCATCTCAATATTCTTCCCTTCCCAATATTCTCAATATTCCCTTCCTCCTCAATATTATTCTCTTCCTTCTGTAGCCTCCTGCTGTTGCTGGTCCATCCTGTGCATACTCAATTGTATGGTCCTTGTATTCCATCCACGTGCAGGAGGAACACATATCTTCACCACCAGACATTCAGAGGCAGGAGCCCGGCTGACACAGCCAGCAAAAAGCTCCAAGCACAATGATAGGCAGTTCTCTAGGCCAGTGGGTGCCCGTGCAGAACAGATGATCAAACCAAAGAAGAAAACCCAGCGAGGAGCCCTTCTTCTCACTCATCCTTCCAACTGACACCTTCCTTTGGGATGGGGGTCCTCACCCAAGCTACAGGTAATTCCACAAAGGAAGGTAGTGTGAAACCTGTGCAGGGCCAGCTCGTTTCATCTGACTCTCTGCTTCTTTCCTGCAAATGCCCTATCTCCATGACTTACGCTAGATCTTCTCTGGCCCTGCATCAAACTGCCTTATGGGGATCTCACTGAAAGCAACTCAATTAGCCAACGTGGTGACACAATGACAGCCCCTGATTCACTCCCTGCTCCTGGAGACATTATCTGAGCTAACATTATCTTTCACTAGAATCCCGCTAGCAGCAGCAGGATATTAATAATTCATCGGCCCCTCCACAATTGTTTGACAGCAACGCGGGTCCCCTCGCACATACCGCATGGGAGATAGCCTGCTGCTCAAGGACTGCCAGGTGCACAAGACAGCTACGGTACTGTGAGGCAAGGAGGGAGTGCAATAGAAAGGAAATGGCCTGATCTGGATCCAAGGAGTCCTGGTGACTCAGGATAAGCTGACAAACTCTAGGTAAACTGGCCACTGTTTGAGCGGTCAGGCCAAGTTGTAACCACATTGAATGAATCCCTCTTCCAGGCCTTTGCACGGATCCCTAACAAGTGGCATCACCATCACAGCTACCCAGTTCGCAAACACAGATATAGGGCAGTCCCACAGCATCTGGTGTCTGATATGGGCAACTTCCCATCCTCACTAATATCTAGCTTTTTCCATGTGTTTAGAATCTCTTACCTGTCCACGGCTGGATGGTAGAGAGGCCAGCTGTCCTGAGGAGAGAGGTAGCTGCACAGAGCAGAGCCTCCAACCACTCGCACCTGGAAGAGACTCCCAGCCGCCTGGAAAGACAAAGGGAGGAAGGAAGCATGAGCCAAAGGGTCCTCCTCTCCCCAAAGAGAGCACACTACAGGACAAGTCAAGATTTAGGACTGGACGAGCAGACAAGCAAGAAGAGGACCAATGAGAGCAATACAGCAACCCTTTTATGTGTCTCAGTCTTTATGCAGCACGCATCAATATTTCTCCCACAGCTGTCTAAAGGGATACTTTCCTGTGGGAGCCTCTCTCAACCCTAAAACAGACTTCCTATTAATTGTAGCCAATATGGCCAACAGTCAGGGGTGATGGGAGTATTGAAACATATGGAGGGTACTGGACTAGGGAGGTGTTCTTCACGGCATGGTGGTAACACAGTTTCTCTAGAAAAACATATTTATACAATACTCATCTATCTCAAAATGAGAACGTCTAGCATCCATAACAGCTCCCGCCATGCAACCAATGTATGTGCTTGAGAACAAGGCAGATGCTTTTACCGAGAGAGCTCTGCATTAGTTTTATGACTTCTGATGGACCTTTCCTGCAGCTTCTTCATGGCCTCACCTATCACAGAGCCAAGCATTTACTTAACATGATACAAGAGAGCTCCGAGCCCCATAATGGGAGTTGCTCTGGAATTGGGTCCTCTCTGAACACATAACACAACTGGCCATCCCTTCGCATCACCTGCTCGTTGGTTAAAGGCTGGCAACAGAGTACAAGTTCACCCATTCCTTTGAAACATGTTGATAAACAGAGATGTGATTTTCATTTCCCTACAGAACCAGAAGTTTGTAATTGTTGTGGGTTAATTAATCAAAAGCAAAAAGTGTAAGCCGGAAAATTCATTCTAAGTAAATGACTTGTTCGTGCATGCAGATGGATCTCAAATTATCACCACAATTTCTCTTGGCTCCAGCTTCATTGGAAAATGGTTTCCCATTTTGCAACCTTTTTCCTGGTGCCAGTTGCAATTTCCCAATTGTCAAACAAATTGACTAATTTACTCCTCACTCCCCTTCTGTAATGCTGTTTTGTCATTAAATCGAGTGCATGATTAGCCAATACATTCGGATTTCATTATGTTTTGTGTCCAGCTTCCTCATCTTCTTGACAGAGGCTGTAATGAGACCTGATGAGGGGACAAATATGAATCCATTATCCTGACACCATTCCGATTATAATCCTCCGTTTTCACTCAGATTTCAGAATGAGTAATACCTTCCCAACCTCAAAGTGCCACATTTGTTCCAGACACAAAGAGAAAATAATCAGCAATGTTTCCCCTCTCCTCCATTTGCTCACCTCACATGGCTTCAGCATGAAAGAGTTCATGTCATTTCAGAGACTATTACATTCACAACCTACATGGAGCTGTGGAGGCAAGAGCCATTTCCATTTTTGTATGTCAACAGATTTTGCTGCAATTTGGGGGTACTGATGTGTAATGGATGCCACATCAGTGATGAACAGGAGAGTACCAGAAAGGATTCCCCTTGTTGTTAATCCAGTGTCCTTAATACAAAACAGACATGTCAAGTATCATTGATATGACAGGCCAAAAATAGCCATGGGTATCTGCCTTCCATGAGGGTGTGATGAGGTGGGCACTTGAGATGGCAGAACAGAGAGAGCTGCAATTTGCCACTTATGGCTCCCCTACTGACATGAAGACTTGCTACATACTGTTTCTGTTGCATCCATATAGTCCAGATATTAATGATGACAGTTTGAGGAGCCAAACTCCATCCTTACATCTGGATGGTGGAATACACTTGGCTTTGCCTTTAGTTCCCTCTTGTTTAAAAAAGTTTTTTAAAAGCCGTAAAACTGTACAAATGCACTTCGCAATAATTTTTTATGTTTTCCATTTTTGGGAAAGATTCTGTGCTGTCATATTTGCTGTCTAGTTTGAAAACACAACTAGTAATGGAGCTATGAGATTCTTGTTTAATGGCCTCTTTCTTTTTCCCTCCCAGTTGTGACATCAGAGAAGACCACCCAGGTTCTGTCCACAACTTGCTGTCTTGGGTCCTCCTCTACCTTTTCATCCAGATTTCAAAAGAACAGGAGCGGTAGCTCCCTAAGCATGCCCATTTTTGAGTCCAAATAGCCAGGTGGTACTACTAGCATGGTGTCTATATAAGTATCCTTGGGCAAGCAGGAAACCAGCAGAGGGTCATAGAGATAATTAAATATCCACATGTTTTAATCAAACCTAATTAAACAGCTCTAAAGAACCATGAGATCAGAACAAGCTGTGTTAAGTTACAAGAGGGGCTTGTTTAGCTCCTGAAGTAGATGGCTTCCCTTCCTTTCAGTGTAAACACAAGATGGAAAGGTACAGGCATAACTAGTAAAATGCACAGGAGTATCTTTTTTCCTGTTGGTGGGGCATCCTAACAACAGGAACAAGAGGACACATGGATATCAGTGTTTTGCCAGTCTTGTTCAAAACGTGCTCGTCTTGTAAGAATATAAGAAAACTCCTGCTGGATTAAACCAGGAATCTATTTAATTTTACTTCCCAGAAGGGCCAATGGGAAAGCATCTTGGCCCTTCCAGGAAGCCAGCAGGCAGGACATGATGGAAATTATCAACATTCTATACATCTTGCTTAATTTCACTTGTCTATCATATCCCTCTTCTCTTATTTCTAAACAAAACAGTCTGGACAATCCAGATTAGGAATGCTGAATGACCAACAGGGAAGCACACTGTCTGACAAGAAGGAAATGAAGAGAAGATGGAAATAGTATTCTGAAGACCTATACAGAAGAAATAAAACAATGACAGGTTCCTTCGAAGAGAAATCCTATGACAAAGAACCTGAAATTCTAGCAAGTACAGTGAAAGCTGCTCTGAAAACACTAGGAAAAAATAAATCACCCAAGAACTGAATCTGTTAAGATCCTAATGAACATATACCAATATGGAAAATGAAACAATGCCCTATAGACTAAAATTGTTCAATATACATTCCGATTCTCAAGAAAGGAGTACAGTAACTATAGGACCATTCCTTTAATTTCCCATGCAAGCAAGGTGTGGCAACAAAAGTTTTTATTTTACATGAAGCAAAACATTCTTGATGTTCAAGCTGGATTTTATAAAGGAAGAAGCACTTGAGATCATATTGCAACTATCCACTGGCTACTAGAGCACACCAAACAATTTCAGAGATCAGTCTATGCTTCATAGACTACAGCACAGCCTCTGACTGTGTAAATCATGAAAAAATATGGGTTGCCCCAAAAGAAATGGATGTGTCTCAGCACTTGATTGTCCTGATGCATAACTTGTATTGTGGACAAGAAGCTACCACGAGGACAGAATATGGAGAAACAGAATGGTCTCCTATAGACAAAAGTGTCAGAGAAGGGTGCATTTAATTCCCTTATCTGTTTAGTCTGGAGGCAAAATGTGTGATACGGAAAGCCAGACTAGATTCAGTTGGAGGAATGAAAATTGATGGAAGAAACATCAGTAATTTAAGATATGCAGACGACACCATCTAACTGGCAGAAAGCAGCAAGGATTTGAAATGACAGGGAAAGTGAAGGAAAGTGCTAAAGCAGGACTGCAGCTGAACATTAAGAAGACAGAAATCATGACTTACAGAAAGACTATACAACTTTAATTCTGACAATGAAAAAATTGAAGGAGTTAAAGATTTTGTATACTTTGGTTCAACCAACAATCCCAATGTAGACCACAGCCAAGAAATCGGAAGTAGACTGAGCCTTGGAATGAAAGAAAAGATAATCAACTATAAGGAAATGTCATTGGAGACCAAGACCAAGATCATCCACACGCTTGTATTCATGATCACCATGTATAAGTATGAACGCTCGACAGTAAAAAAAAAAGAAAAGCTGCACCATGTATAAGTATGAACGCTGGACAGTAAAAAAAAAAAAGTTAACTGGTACTGGAAGAGACATTTGCAGATGCACTGGACTGCCAGAAAGATGAACAATTGAGTCTTGATCAAATCAAGTTTGAACTAATGGACTGCTAGAAAGATGAACAAGTGAGTCTTGATCAAATCAAGTTTGAACTATCTCTGGCCAAAAATGATGAAACTGGGGCTGTCCTACCTTGGGCATATCAAAAGAAGACAGGATTCCATGGAAAAGACAATAATGGAAAGGTAGAAAGCACCAGGAAAAAAGGAAGACAAAATACAAGATAGATTGACTCACTAAAAGACGTCAGAAGCTCAGCTTTACAAGAGCTGAGCAAGGCTGTTGAGGACAGGACATTGTGGAGAACCCTCATTCTTAGGATCACCGTACATCAGAGGCAACTTGACAGCACGTAACAACAATTGCAGACAATCCAACTAGCCAGCCAGAGTGATTTCTCAGTGCTTTCAAGGGATTGCAGGCATTACCTGAGCCCTGATCAAAACTGACTCGCAAGAATGGTTAAGTGTGTGTGGTTTTGCTTCTCCTAGAGAACATCTTACTTATCTGATCAGTTAGTGGGCTGGATTCAGCCCATAGACTCAGAACTACCACCTGCTGGCATAAAATGACCAAGTATATAAGACTTCTCTTTATCCCAGTTCACGAGTTAAACTAGTTCAAGAGCCTATGTTAAGGTACTTCATATCAAATGCTTTTTGAAATTCCAATATGCAATTTCTGCCAGATCACCCCCGTCCAGCTGCTTGTCAACACTCAGAGAAATCTGAAACGTTTGTGATAAAGGACTTGCATTTTCAAAAGCCATTCTAATTCTTTTTTCAGCAGGGCTTTTCTTTGTATATGCTTGGTAAATTTTCCTTTAATAACATTCCATCTGTTTATCCAGAAGCGATGTTAACATTATGCTAATCTTTCAAGGGCCTTTTCAATAGTGTTTTGATATTGTAATCAATTTTTTTCAAAAATATATCTTTACTGTGTTTTTAATTGTGTTATATTTTAATTGATTGGGTCTCTTACAGCGAGTAAAACCAACCAAAAAACCAACCTTGGGTCCCTTTTTTTAAAACTGCAATTATACTGGCCAC